AGAGAGAAATAAATAATAATAATTATTATGAAATACATATTAGATCATTCACACATAAAAATTCATGAATTTCAATCCAGTAGCCATTCCAATCACAGGGTTAATTTTTTGTAAAATGAAGGCATTACGCTATCATTTTGAAACATTGATCAACACTTACAGTGTATTCAGTGCAGTGAGAGGAGTGTCACTACCTCTGAGTCTCCTACTAGCAACATAATAGCTAGTTAATAACTGATGAGCATCTGATTGTATTGTAACATCAATACTGGAACAAAATGAAAGTATCTGTTGAGTGAGAGAGATAAAAGGAGGAGAAACAAAAGTTTTAAAAATGAATTATTATAATTGAATACCTCAATTATTTCCTCATTTGTTAAAAGAGGGTGTGGATGAGTTGATAAGCTTCTGTCTCTCGTTACTTTATTAATCAGATGAGCAGACATGATTTGATCAACATAATCATCAGAAGAATCAACAAGTAATAATAAACCAGAGTGACTAAGAAGACACAGAGAAAGGAAAACTTATAATTAAAGAGTAGTACATTTGAGGGTTCAAATGAGAAGGAAAGGACAAAAAAGAATATAACTAATCAATAACTAACTCCATCAAAGATTTACTTGCACATGTACCAGACAGTTCCTATGAAAATAATAAAGTATGGCTAGTAATTTTAGATGAAGAATTTTCGGTAAATTGCTAATCAAAATGGCCGGTTGCAAGTTCCAACTACAATGTACATGTATATGGTGAAAATATACTTTCATGCAGATATTGGGCAAGAGTAATACGTATGGGTATAGGGTATATGTTATCGAAAATGGTTGGGAGTTAATTCTTCATTTTTATTACATTCCTAATACATGTACACGTTCTTATCTTATGCATAAAGTTGAGATGATTCCAATCAAAATTAGAATTTTTAGAAGCTTTTAAAGTTGTTAATGCAATAATAAATGTAGCAATATAGGACTATTACTTTAAGAATTATCTATAGTTCTAGCAAACTACAATGCGTTAAGTGTTAATGTAATTGATGCCACATCTAATCAGTCTAAATAATTCCTCACATGTAAAGGTTTATGCATGACATGATCAGTGTTGAGATTAGAGTCACACAAGAGCCACAGTGTACAGTTAAGAGGTACTGTCAATGAAGAACTGCTGATTGACTTCCTGTTTGAATGTATTGTAATGTAGCCAGACTCAAGAACTATAAATAACAAAATAATAAATAAAAATAATTATAAAAACCACAGACACAGTTACAATGTACATTAATACTGCCGATAAATAAATAAAAAACAACAATTACACAACAGTAGATTAATAACAGCAAGTACACACAAACAAACAAACAACATAGACAAATAAATTATGCACAATAACACCTTGCTGCAGTTGTTCCTTCTCATCTTTCTTCATACTATTAATATTGTCAATAAAACAAACGCCACCTTTTGATAATATCAAACTACCAGCTATAAAATAAAAGACAAAAAAGAAAACAAAATCAGTCAGAATTCACTCACAAATACTCAAGATTGCACAAGAACAGGGTTTCCCACAAAGCATACCTCATGAGCTGACAAGCACTACAATAGACAAATACATGTACATGGCTTTTTGAGTAACTTTAAAAAAATTGTAAAAAATGCAACTTTGGTCGGAATCAACTCAAAATTACTATATTCACAACATCAGAACATATACATTTTGTATATTAGAAAAATTATAAAAATAATAAATTCTTTCTAGTCACTTTGGGAAAATTTGGGCAAAAACCATGAACATTGCACAAGAAACTTTGATCAGAATCAGTTCAAACTTGCTACACAAATCAAGAACATGTATATACTTCAGAAAAATTACAAAAAAGAATTCTCTCATAGTCATTTTTGGCAAAATTTAGCAAAAGTCCCTGGACTTTGGCCTAATTTTGACTTTAAAAATTAGCAAAAAAAAATCAGCTCAAAATCTCCATACAGCACATGAACATGTATAAAAAATTCACTCCTAGCAACTTTTGAAAATTATAATAGTACACATGTACATGTATGTAGTACGTATTTTGTCAAATTTTAGAGCAACTTAAAGTCAGTGAAACCCTGACTAGGGTATTGATATAGATAAAAAATTGGTAGCTCTTAAACAGTTTTTGAAATTTTTACAGAGCTTGAAGGCAAAATTTTAAGCAACAATTTTTGTTAGTTATTTAAATGCTACATAATTTTGAAACTACTTAAAATGCTCAAAATACAAAATTATGGAAATAATATTATTTTACCATCAATCCATTCTAGTCCTTCATCTCTTCTAAATGTACCATTCAAATGTACCCCTCCATTAACAGTATGTATTACTGATCTATTATTAGTAACAGCAGATGATCTATTATTAGTAACGGTAGATGAATATGTTAACAATTGTCTTGCTATGTATTGTGAATCATTGTCAATAATAAGCAATACATCGATCATCCTGTTTCTAAATATAGGAACAATGGAGAGAGAGAGAGAGAGAGAGGGAGGGAAAGAGATAGAGTTGAAGGAATAGGTGGAAGAAAGAGTATTAAAAGTATAGTATATAAAATACCATATAACACTTTAATTTAGCGGAGTTTTATTTTGGTGATTGGTGATTTGCAAGCAGAATCACCAATATTAAAACCGTCAATCATTAATGTGCATGCTCAGTAATGCACGTGTACACAAAAATCACCAAATTAAAAACTGCCAATTACAATTTTACAGCAAAATCGCCAAAATAAAGCGCCGCCAAAATAAAGCGTTATACGGTAAAAACCTTGGTTCACTACAAGCTACAAGACTAAGTAATATAATTAATTTCAATCTGTGATAAAGACCAGGGGGTACAACATCAGCTAAAATAAATAAATAGATAAATAAATAATTGTGTTATTTTAACTTATTTACCTGCAAAATAGTAAGCAAGTATAGCTGGAAATGACCACCTTGAATATTGACAAGCTGAGAGAGAGAGAGGGGAGTATAGTAAATGAACACTACAGATATTACATGAATGTTAATTAGAATAACTACCATTAAATATCCGTAGAATATTAGGAGACAATTGTTTGTTAGTAGAATCATTAAATGTCTTATAAACATTGTTAGCCTACAAATAAATAATAAAAATAATACATTCTTTACATGTATATATGTATACCTCTATTACAGTGTCAACAGTAATCCTTCCATTATTAGTACTATTATTATTATTAATTGCAACACCAATAACTGTACATTCACCACCAATCTCTACCACTGAGCACAAATCATCTAACAATAATAGCTAGTGATAATTAAAATAACAATAATAGCCACTAAACCTCTTAGTATAACAGTAAATCCTTGATAGCTTGAGCCACTAACAGGATACAATACATCAGTAGGCACCAGTGATATTAATAACTTATCTGCATATGTACATACAAGAAGAGACAGAAAAAAAGGAAGAGAGAGGGAGAAAGTAAAGAGAGTGAGAGAGATAACAAATTACATAATAAGATAAAGCTCATTTTTACCTGATAATATTCTTTGTTTAACATCTTCAATTAAAATCAGTCCACAATAATGACACTTCAAATTATCACTTATAATTAATAATAATTACTACATACATTGTAATGTTAATTACTTTATAGTGTTATATTCATAAGAGCCAACTGAATGATAGCGTATGTGTGGATCAGATGTACATGAAGAATTAGGACAATAATAACAAGCACTTTCACTATGAATAAGAAAGAGAAATGAGGGAGAAAAATAATGAAGTGAGAGAAAGAATAAGAGAAGTAAATATAATGTAAAAATAATACTTTATGTACATACGTATATTTTTCAATATTAGTGATACTAGTTACAATACCAGTACATGATATAAACTGTCCCTCTCCTTCATCCATAGGAGACTGTAACTCACATACATGAGATACATGATACCTACGTGTATGTACATGTACACGTTAATTGTTGTAGTAATGATGGTCACTAACTAACGGTGGAAAGGCAGGAAGAGAGGAGAGTCTAATTAGTAACAGTAGTTGGTTTGGTGATGCTAAAGTGGTAGCTGGTAGCCACTCCATTTCTCGTATTATAATAAAAATAATTTCATGAAACACTCTCCATCCTTTAGAAGGACTATGAAGCAACAGGTTACCTAGTGACGCTAAGAGGCAGTGACAAATGTTGGAATCACGAGCATATACATACCATTTGATTCTAATAACTGAAAAGTGTCGATTAGTAGAGCAACTTTATATACAATCGGTTTTTGAGAAGATTTCTAAGTGAGAAATAACAAGTGTACATATTCATTAAATTTAGAGAGAAAGAGGGAGAGGTAATAACCAAAAGAAGAATAATAATGATATATATGTACCTCATTGATTAAAGCCAACAGTAAAGAGTTACACTGTCTCTCAATAATCTCAAGATGTCCATAGTCAGAAAGAAACGTTAAAGCAGATAGCTTTTGACTCTCCTCCTTATCTTCCTTGCCTTCCATTTACCCTGAAAAATAAATGAAGAGAGAGACTGAGAGAGAAGAAAATGGATTTTACCACTTAGCAGTTAGCCAGTTAGCATAGCATTAGCAATGGATGGCCAGGTGGTTCCATGCCGCCCAGTGACGTCATTAAATTTCACGTGATCTAAAAATGGAGTCGGAGGTCATTTGTGGAGGAATGAATAAGAACGAGCTACCGGCCGATGCGGCCATACAGGAACTAGCAGACAAAGTAGACCAGTTTATAATGTCCAAATATTGTGAAATATCTTCAGGTTAGAGCATTTGTAGAGGAAAAGTCTGGTAGAAAATTTACTGAGTTCAAGGCCATTACATATTGCACTCAACTGGTAGCAGGAATGAATTACTTTATTAAAGTAAGGAACACTGTGGGGTCAGTGGGTCCAATGGAACACTGACCTGGGAACTAGAGCTACACGTCCTGTCTATTAATATTTTTAGTTAGGGTCGCCTCTAGCCTGGGTTTCAGGGGTTGGGACGATGTGGTGTGACAGTTTGTAAATTAGTGGAGGGTGTAACTTGTTGTATTTTGGAAATGAATGCTTGGCAAGAAATAATCCTACATGTTGCTGACACAGGCTGACAGTTTATTTTGGCTGATTCAGGCTTACCATTGGAAATATGTGTGCATTGAAATTGCTATTTTTCTTATAATCAAATTACTAAACTCTACATCAGAGGGTATAGTCTTACCTACTACTATGCTTTAAGATCAAATACCACTATGGTCGGTAATATTTGAGGGTCCAAAATTTTGTGTTTTCTCCAAAATGTCCTTAGAAGCTAATATTTGTGGGTACAAATATTCGTGGATGGCAGTTAGTAAACTTCTTTCACTTGGATCTACTGGACTAGCTTCCAACACATGGCTTATAGTGGAATATGGAGTAACAGACAAAAACTCTGGCTCCTCCACTGGCTTGAAAATATTAGTTAGAGCTCTGCATGGCCTGTTAATTAGTTTTTATGTGTGGGTGGGTAGGGGTTAAAATTTTGTGGATAAAAATGAACCACGAAATTAACGAAAATTAATACCCCACGAAGTTGACCAACCGTACGGTATGACTTGATTTTTGTGTGTCAAATAATACAGGATAATTGTTTATTTTCAAGGTTTTTTTTCTACAGTTCCGTGATACTTGTACCTTTGACTAAAAGTGATCTGTGGCCCCATTCATTGTTATAATTACTGTTATTATTATTATCTAAATGGTATTTTGTAAGATACTAAATTATTTATTATTGTGCTTTAGGTATGTGTTGGTACTAATGATTACATTATGTTACGTATCTATCGAAACCTTGATCAAGAGGTAACTCTCACTTCCTACCAGTTGGACAAGAAAGATAATGACCCAATTGAATATTTTCAATAATTTAAATTTTGCTGTTGTAATAAATGAATTAGAGTTTAAATTGTTTTTATCAACTAATAGTCTGAAACATAGATGAATGTATAAATCAGTGGTTGACCAGCTAAGTTTCTTGTCATAGGTCTATAAAAATTGCATGGTCATTTTTGTGGTGGTCCTGCGTAGACCAGCTGACAGTTCACTTGACAGGAATATGGCAAGTGGCAGAGACAGAGTAGAACCTAGTTCTTGTCCCCTACACCAACAGAGGGTCTAGATCCAATGCCTGTTGATGCTGAAACAAAGCTTAAGAAACTTTATGCAAACTATAGTGGATTGTGTTACATAAAAAGAAGAATAGTTTAATGCATAAGGGTAAGCTTAAGTACATTATGATATAGATCTAGTTGCATGTTATATTTATAGGTGGAGGTTAATGGTAATAAAACAACGCTCTAGAAATCTTTTAAAGAAATTTTAAGAAAGCTCTGTGGTAAATATTCTGCTCGTATAAAAATACTGTTGTGAAAGTTGAAGCTAATTTGTTACCAAAGATGATGATCAAATGTGATCAGTGTTCTTTTGATTTTACAGTAATTACAAAATAACTGAAAATAAAAATTCATTATTTTATGTTAGAGCTAACAGTCATTAAAAGCAAAACAATTTGAACTATTGTCTAGTTTTGATGAATATGAATTTTTCAACTCAGTTAATCACAGCTGCATGTAGATCACATAACTGCATTTTGTACGGCTTGACTGACTCTTTTCCCTTCAATCCACCTTAGACGTAGACAATAAATACCCCCTTATCTACTGTTGTAAATACTAAGGTGTTTATCTGAACTGAATCCCAGAGATGAAATATCTGAGGTCACAGGTAGAAGTAATGCACTACAATAATTGTGCCATTCTGGGCCAGTTGGAATTTCATAAACTTATAGACCTTTTCACGATACGCGACTGGTGGAATGTGAAACTTTACTTTTTTACAATTTAATCCTACTATTTTTCCATTTTTAATGTTTTTTTTATTTACTTGTATATATATATATATATATATATATATATATATATATATATATATACATATAATATATAATATTGATAATAATAATAATAATAGCAAAGCTAAGTGTTGAAATGTTGCACAGTATTATAGATGATGATTAATGAAAAATTTAATATAAGAGAGGGAAAGAGAGAGTTTCAGGGGAGGGGGAAGATACTTCCATTGTTTTATTACAGAAGGGTAAAATGAGCTTAATTAAGTAGATGTCTTGAAAGTGATCTGAGAAAAGTTACCATTATTATTGGATCGAAGGGAATAGCAGGAGGGAGCTTTAATTTGTAGAGGATGGAATGGGCTAAGTGAAAGATTTTCCTTTATTTTTAATTAACATGACTATTTTAAATTTAAATCACCGATGAGACAGGGAAGAAATGTGAGAGAGATTTTGGAGATGGTGGTATGGGGTAGACCATAATTTGAAAGCTATTTTTAAATGCTGAACAGCCTCCAGTTGTGATGAGACTGACTCTGACTGAGGGAGAAGGAGGATCCCAAATTGAAGAGGCATACTCCAAAATTGGCGAACTAGTGTGACATGTAGATAGAACATAGTCTCAGTAGATGAATGCCTATAAAAGTTACAATAAATTAGTCCAAGGACTTTTCTAGCTTTTTTGATTATAAACAATATGTGTTTGCTCCAGGAAAAAGTAGATGTAAAGATTAGGCCAAGGTATTTATAGGAAAACACACAATTAATAGGTGATTAAGGAGAGGAAGAGTATCAAAGACTGAGTGACGTGAAAGAGAAAGTATCATGTATTTTGACTTAGAGATGTTTAGTGATAGTGAGTTTGTGTGCATCCAGGTACAGATAGATCAGAATCAATTCAAACTTTCTATGCATATTGAGAACATGCATATTATGCATCAGGAAAAGATTTAAATTGATAATTCTCTCCTTTGCATTTTTGGAAAAATTTGGCCTGTGACAGCCATGTATTATACATAGCTGATAAAAAAACATAATACAGAAAATTTTATGACATCACCACTTTTACAAACTATATAAAAAATTCAATACAAAAATAGTACTATAATTAAAAAGTTATGCCATTAATAGACCCTCAGCCCCTTCTCTAATGGCAGTCATCAGAACATTATTGAACTGCTCATAACTTTCGCATTCAGGAAGACACAAATGATTGAAACTAGAATACAAAGAAATAATATTCATATCAACCATGCAACAATAAACAATGCATGACTACCAAGTATTTACTAATGCAAAGGGTAGCTTAGCTGATGATATGTAGCATGCAACATGCATGCATGCCATGCAAGGTTACCAGTAAACAAAACTTAGTGTCATTTGAATTTAGTCTATATCATAGTATTACCATGTATGGGCATAAGGTAATCGATTTCCTGACTCTCCACTACATAAAATGGTAAAATTTGGTTGTAGCTCAGCAAATCCTCCAATAGGAACTTGAGAGCTCCCTGTTACAAACTGTACAAGTCTGGCTAATTCCTCCTGAGATAACTGATTTACTGATGTCCAGAACCACTCAATAGTCTGTCCACTGACACCTCTGACTACAGCATTTGAACGAAGGTCTTGTACACTCAATTCTTGAAGACCACACATTAAAAGCTACATTTATGATGATATAAATAGTAATTTAAATCATTACTAATATGATAACCTCAAGCTCATTCTCATCAAAAATGCCAAAAAGTTCAGCTGGTACTATAAAGTTCAGTCCTAAAGATAAATTATAAAGCAGTAGAAAAATGAGAAAATAAAAATAATTTAGATAATTTTTATGTAAATATATATTTTACTTCATACCTTTCATAAACTCATCTATTTCTTTCGAAACACGACTGCACAGCCTGTATTGTGCCAATTTATTAAGATAATACATTTTGTTTGATTCAGTTACAGGCTTTTTAGTACCATTAGGCACCAATTCTACTAACTAGAAAAGGATATACATGTACTTAATGTTACCATAAATACTGTATACACAGTATCTATGATGTCATTGGACTCGCTGTTTACACAAGTATTAGACACCAAAACTAAAACGGATATATCAAAGGCACCGCCTGTTCCGTTATATTGCATACAGCACTAGTACAGCACCGGAAGTTGTGTCGGTTGGTTGGCTTCACAATGGCTAGCAATACTGGGTGAGAAGTTCTTTGTGACCAGAGAAGAAATGAAACTGCTCTACCTATTGCAGAACAGACTCACAACACTCCTTTACGACCATTGTAGGCATTTTGCTGTCTTTCAGTGCCCAGAGATGCTCTTGTATTGATTGTTGGGCAGCCAAGTCCGTGTTATGTGGCAAAGAAAATTGTCTTGCAAGCTTTTAAATGTTTGTGCTGGCTTTGTCTCAACTTTGAAGACTCGAGAAAACTTCTCTAGGAGTGCATTTCGCGGATGCCTTTGATGCACCCACTATATCCCATAAATTAATTATAGCACAGTAAAGAGTGCTGTATGGCTGATAACGGCACTCTTTACTGTGCTATAACTATTATTTATACATAGTATCTATGATGTCATTGGACTTGCTGCTTAGGCGAGTATTAGGCACTTTGGTAAGTTTTGTTATCTATCAGTGACCATGAATTTGTAATTACCCTGAGGAAACAATTATTAGTGTGTACTTATTTTAGCAATTTCCATGATATTGACATTTGGCTGGTATCTAATTTACTGTTTTGTTCATTTTAATATTAACTATAAACATTGAGGGGGCAAGCATGAGCTATCAATCTGGCTTAGCGGCTATCAATTGACTTTATTGAAATTTCAATGATTTAAAATGAAATAAACCTAATCTACATAGTTCTTAGTCGAATGAGAGAGAAAAGAACATTTTTCTCTTTTTGTTTGTGAGACCAGGCCATTACTGGCATGCATAGTGAGACCCCAACCTCACTGTCAGGGTCTGAAAAAAGCAAATATCACTTATCACCTACTAACAAATAACTAAAAAACAGACAAGAAATGAAAGACAGTGCTTGAGCAAGTTTTTGTTACTGAGCCGGAAGTTTAGCTTTGCTTCTTAAGGCCTTTTCACACTGGCAAAAGTAATGCGCATTAATTGTGTACACACTAGAGATGCTTCAAATTAATGTGCATCAATGCGGATTACTTTTGCCAGTGTGAAAAGGCCTTAAGAACAAAAGCAAAACTTCCTGGCAGCTCAGACAGTAACAAAAAACTTGCACAAGCACTGTAGCACATCATAAACTATCTTATATCTAGCCTTTAGGCAACAGCATTTTTGTCATATTACTTATTGTGCATTAAGAACAATTTTATGCTCACTATTATTACTATTTTTATTAGCTCCGGCTATGACTGATTTAAAAAAATAAAAGCAGCTAAGACCTCTAGCATAACATGTAAAATTGTCAACGGTATGGTGTGGCTTCTCGGCCAATAAAAATTGGCCATTAGGAAGTCACATGTCATGCTAAGGCCAATTTTTTATTGGCCAAGAAGCCACGCCAATTGGAAATTTTACATGCTATGCTAGAGGTCTTAGCTGCTTGTATTTCTTATGCATAATTTTTCATTTGATGTCTTATGCATGATCCCTTAAGTACACTGAACTAAAATCTATCAAGACAACACTATCTTTGCCATAATAGGTGATAGTTTTTATAGCTCTCTTCACTTGAGTCAGTGCAGAACATGCACTATTAAAACATTGCTTATTAAAATAGTGCATAAATGCAAGAGCAACTGTGGCAAGTCTAAGCACCGCCACGGCAGTGTCGGCCACTGCCATGGTAGGTGTCTTGCTTTGAACTAGCATTTTCCTATATGCACATTAATAAAATGGCATCTTTTTACAATGCTTCAATGAAGCACCATGGTGCGTGGACTCGCCTGCTGAGATTCACCTGAGGGATAATATGTGTACTTGTACTGCCCCATCATGATATAATATATATAAGATTTGAGAAAAGGATAATAGATTTTGAGTAAACTGCAACAATGCAATTACTACACTCAGGCTGATCCATAAAATAAATTATAGGTGTGGTAAGAACTTAGCAGTGCAGTACAGTGCAGATAAACATGGCATGTGGTTAGGAGAAACAAGAAAAGCTGAAAATTATTTTAGCATCTGAAGCTCTATTCAAAGAAAGAGTTAGCACAAAAAATTTGCCTAGATATTTAAAAGAGACTGAGATAGTTTGGTTGCTCCTGCTTTCCCCAGTGCTACCTGAAATTTTTTCGAAGAGGCTAAATTACAAACTTTGAGCAACTGTAACTTGCAAACAAAAAAGAGATTAGAAAATTCCCACATATTTTTTAATCTATGTACTTTTCTCTACCTATCAATGCTAATCTTGACCAAATAGAGTGAAACACGAAGATTTGGCTAGGAAAAGTGGTCTATTCTTGAAAATATTCGGCTTTTGCCACCACGGATTGCTATGAAAATACAATGGAGCTAAATAAATTATCTTTTCCTCAAAGCTTAAAAAGAATTATAACTCAGGAGAGCTCAGTAAAAAAGATATTGACTAGGAATTAACAGGAATTTTCGTGACAGAATGACAACCTAACTGCATAGTACCCACCTATGCAAGTGTGGCGAGTCCAATGAAGAAGTTGTTTATTTTTATACATTTTAATTCTGTATATTAAACTTACCCTAGGATTTTTTGAACTACCATCATACTCTTCTTCTGTAAATGTAAGATCCATGCCAAGATCAGATATGCTACATTCTTTGATGTATCTCACTTTACCATTGTGTGGATCATCAGTTTCAAAGTACTAAACATTACATATCGTATGGTTGGTAATTTTTGAGGGTTCAATATTTTGTGTTTTCTCCAAAATTTCAATATAGGAGCTAATATTCGTGGGTACAAATGTTCATAGCTGGCAGTTAGTGAATTTTTTTCCACTTAGATCTACAGCACTATATAGCTTCCAATACATGTCTTATAGTGGAATATGGAGTAATAGACAAAGACAGGCTCTGGCTCCTCTACTGGCTTGGAAAGAGTAGTTAGAGCTCTGAATGGCCCATTAATTATAAGGTTGTAACACATTAAGTTGTTACAATCCTTCAGTACTTCAAACTCTTTAACCTTCGCTCCATATGCCTCGGTATTGGTTTCTATGGCATTTATTAACCTTGTGACTGTGTTGCTCAGTTAATAAAACCTCTACCTCAGTGTATAACCTATACTAATAATAATAATAATAATAATACTATTATAGTATTATTATTATTGTTATTTATTTGCTGTTATTATTATTATTATTGTTGTTGTTATTAAAATTTATTATTATTATTATTATTATTATTATTATTACTATTGTTATTGTTATTATAAATTATAATAAAGACCTAATGATTGTATATTTTTAAAAAATTAATAATAATAATAATAATAATAATAATAATAATAATAATAATAAATGATATTAGTTTTTTTATGTGTGGGCTGTAGGGGTTAAAATTATTTTGGTGAATAAAATGAATTGCGAAAGTAACGAAAATAATTAATGCCCTACAAAAATTACCAACCATACGTAGTCATTAAAATTAGTATGGACATTGACATACATGCACCTTATACTCTAAAGAATGGCATAATAGTAGGCATTTGACAAAATGATTAAGAAAAACATGTACTAATTGAAAATTTTACAAACTAAATAATTGCTTTTAATATACTATACTTACTTTCCAAGTTAATCTCAAACCAATGATTTGAGCAAGAAAGGATCGTGTAAATTTTGCCCTCACCAGTAGTGTATTACCCATTGCAGTCTCATATAGACACTTGCCAACAATTAACCCAGCAAAATGATAATAACGTAAATCATATAGCCCATTCCTTTCTTTATCAGTGGTGGGATGTACCTACATTATATAAAGCACAATAATACAAGAGTGATGGTGAACTGATTATATACAAATAATTGAGATAAATTTATAAGGCTTTCAAATTTATTAGTGAATTAATAATCACACAGTCTGTACAAGTAACCTGATCAGTTTCCAATCCCAGTTATGTAGCCTTTTTAACTAACCTATGCATAATTCTCTTTGATGTTTTAGTCGCTAATGAGGCCAGGCCAGCTCTGAGCCCGCTAGTATTGTGCAATACATTGCTTTGATAACAACTGTCATTATCAACACATACACACAGGGCATAACTTTACATGTCTAGTATGGCACAATCATTATTTCACGGTTAGTTCAAATCAGTTCAGTAAACCATGTTTGAAGTTGTTAAGGCTATTTGGAACTTCTTGGGCTTTGCCCTTTGGTTCTAAATAGTGTGCTGGACACCCTTCAAACATGGTTTAACCTATTATATAATATCTATGCACCCTCACCTATATGCTACAGAATAGGGAAGGGCAACTTGACTACATAGTCTTCGGCCATGCTAATCACTGGCAAGGCTAATCATACAAATTTTTCAAACAATTATTTGCATGCAACCAAAACATTTCCTCCACAACTCAAAATCAAAATATCAAAAATTTCTATACACATGTTTCCTTACTAAGGATTGCATGTCATCTTCTTTGAAAGCTCTAAAGAGTCCATCCGGTCTCCTTCCACTGAATATGGCGTCACATAAACAATTAATAAATTCTCTTGATACACCATTGCAATCAATACCTACCACATAAAAAACTTCACACATGTAAATAGTTGTCCTTTTTTGACATGGAAAATTCTTTTTGTGAAATTCTCTTTCATGCATAACAACTTATTTTGACAGGTTGCATCAAACATTCATTAAGTAGTCAAAAATTAAGGCATTTTACATTTTGGCTTCTGGCTGGCCTATATGTATAAGACTCTCATGCAAAAAAATTATGCAATGACACATAAAACATAATTTACACGCTACATATAAAAAGGCAAAAGAAATCATGTACCTTCTTCTTCATCAAATTTAACAAAAAAATTTTTTCCCCAATCATTTTTTGAAAAATTCTTAGTAGCCTCCATGGCCTATAAAAGGTACAAAATCAATAATGTCAAGTTATCTACAATCTTTTTGTATTAAACTACACGTCACACATATCTAATACATGTACATGCATATACATCTAATGCTCTATGAAATTTAAATTTTTATAAATTACCAGCTAATTCTCCATTGAAGATATG